CTTCAAAAATTGCACGGATTCCCCCCGAACTTTTAAAAATTGCACCAATGGTCCCTAAACATTTAAAAATCTTGCATCACTGGTCCTTCTACATCATATTTAGGAGTGTGTTAATGACACGCTTATCAATATGCCTATTGGAGCTTGATGAAGATGCCATGGACTGTTGAAAAGGTTGATCGATTGATGCTCGGGCTTTGAGTTCGGTTACCGTCGGCTAAAGTGAGAATAATTATATAGGTTTCAAGAGGTTAAAAATATACAAGATAATGTTTGTGAATGACATATTGCATAACTCACGTGAGATATATGACTTTAGATGAATCCATACTTATATTAGAAGAGCGTGCCATTGACGCACTCCTAAATCAGGTGCAAAGAAATCATTGATGCAACGTTTTAAAAAGTTCAGAGACCATTGGTGTAATTTTGAAAGTTCAAGGAGAATCCACACAAAAGAATCTATTTAATTTGAGGGTAAAATGGCACGAAAAAACTCATTTAATTCACTATCCAAATGAAACTGCTGAATTTGAATTTTCAAATCCTTCAAAAGTAAATTGGAAATTATGCACAAACATAGGCATGATTCAGAGAAAAAAGTTACGAACTGGATTATGATATAAACTGACCAGTCAGTGCTCAGGTTATCAGGAACGTCTATCATCCACTCAGGAAGCATAAGCTGCTTAGCAAACCAGCGGCGAGCTTCAACTCCTCTGATCCTAGAGATATGGCTGATATCATAGCTGTCGCTCTGTCGACTATCGGGTTCAGTTTGCTCGATTCCGGGTAAGGCTTCGGTGTCAGGATCTTCAGAAAGGGATTGGGGATCGCAGTCATCAGACTGAATCGACAGAATGGTGGAGGCTAAGCGGCGTGCTTGCAGCTGAGCGTCGCGGCGGTTCTGTTCCTGGCGGAGGAGAGACTGTTCCCGGCGTCGTTGCTGGTCGGAGATGGCCGGACGCTTGAACGGACGGCGAATATCGTGTTGCCCCATCGTTGATTCTGGTTACAGGCTGAAACCTCTATCTACGGGGTTCAAGGAATCCAGATGGATGCTGGCAGGTTTCCGGACGGGGTGGATGAGCAATTTCAGGGAGAGATTCCAACCAATCTAAAGGGGTACTACTACGAACACTAATGATTTTTGTTAAACGCTGTCTTAGCCAAACTCTAATTAGTTACATTTGGGGTATCATCTTCTCAAATTTGTCAATTATGCGATCAAAATCTAATTTATTTATTTTCATTGATCGTCTAACCAGGTGTGAAGGACATGTTTGGACCCTTTAATGAAAATATATGCACTTTATTTACCTATTTTCATAAAAATATATGCACTTCATTTATCTATTTTCATTGATCGTCTAACCACTGCATTACAACTTATCCATGATTTGAATTTGACCCTTTAATTTCTTGGGCCTCGAATAACATGTTTGGACTTACTCATTTTAATCGTTGAGCCTGATATCCATCACAAGCCCCCTAGTTTCTCTAGTGGTGTCACTAAAAAACAAATAATGAGTAATCCTTAAACCCCGGGTCGAATTGGAAATGGCGCCAATGCCGCTCACGCACTATCTCGGGTTGCGTATTACAACGTCTATTAACGCCCATTGAAGACGATTATTGTCTTCTTCTTCCTTCATCGTCTCCAAATTCTACATCTTTTACCCTGTGATTTTCATCCTGGAGGGCAAAGAGGAGGAAGAGATGTATGCTGATCTAATTGAGGATTTGAAATTAATCTTTATTTTTAAATAACTTATTACGTTTTCGAGAATGAGTCCCTAGTTTGTTTGTTTTAAGTAATTAAGCTTCCACGCTGTTTGGATTTTTACTCTGATTATAAATTTTTTTATTAGTATTATTTGGATGTTATAAATTGTTTTGAAAATATTATGTGTTTGGATACCAGATTAATAGCTACCCGGTTCGCTAATCCATGTATTTGGATTATGAGGGTTGGGGTGTTACAAGTTGTATTCTCACTCAGCTTTCAGCTGAGCGCGTAGCCTTTATTGCCTTTACTTGCAAACACGGAAGAATCAAGGATTGGATGATCAGTTTAGTGGACAGTGATGTGGTTCAATGTGGATGGCCTGAGCTGATTTAATTAAATTGCATATTTAGAAGTAGTAGAATGTTCAGTTCACATACTTTTTAAATTAGTTCTAATCCGTTAATTATTCATTTACGAGATATTAAATGCTGATTTTTTTTACACTTGTAAATATATGTATACATTTTGAAAACAAATATAAATGGCCATTGCGATAATATAAAATGTTCATTTGCAAGTCAAACGCTGATGTTGCCACCTTCACCCCAATTTCAAACGGCACCGCAACCTCAAAAAGACTATCGCGGCTTCAAACACTAGTTTCATCTTTTAGTAGACTATCATCATATCCTTCGCATCCCCAATAGACGCAACCATCTTCATCTTTGATTGGCACAACCTCAATTGTTGCCCTTGTTCTCGCCTTGCTCCCTTCTTCACATGTTCTCGATTTTCACGTTGTCTCGCTATCGACCCATCCTCTTCCTGAGTTTGACACATCCTCAATGTTTGGATTAACAAACATTTACACTCCAAATATTGAATTTGGGTAATGGTTCTTTTAATTTTAAAATAATTTGGGCACATACAATTCTCCATTGGTAAAATTGATAATTTTAATCTTTCTAAGCCCTTGATCATTGCTCTTCTCCCAAACCTCCTATATCGTTGATTTAGACTACCCAAATCACCAATCTAGGGGGTTAGGTGTGGTGGAGGAGAACAAGGGAGTTTGGGGAGGGGAGTTAGTGTGGTAGGAATTGTAACACCCTAATCCGTCCAGGTCTGCAACCCCTTTCGGACTAAAGTATTGATTTGGTAATCGTGATAATTTAAAACTTTTCAAACATTTTTATTTATAAATAATATTTCATACATAATTGTAGAAAATACGGAGTGTTTAATAATAATGCGGAAGCGACTTTTAAACATGTCTCATAACAACATAATTATTTATTTTGTTCAATGATCCACCACGACTGTCTCGCCCCTTCTGCTGCCAGGAATTAGCCCATCATTCATTCTACCTACCTGCGTGTAGCAAATAAAACACACTACACACTTAGCGGTGAAGCTGAGTAAGCATATCTAAAGCGTCGAACATCCAAATAAATTGAATCTCAATTCATAATCCACCATTTGATATCATGCACACAATATAAGATTCAAACATTCATGATATTCTCAATATTTTATTTCAAGTCATTTGATATTCAATATCTCAACCATGCTCTTAAATTATTCTTAATCTAAGGCCAAATCATTTTATAATAAGCTCTTAGCTATTCCTAGTCTAAGGCAACATTTCTAACCAGGCCCTTAAACTATAAATAGTTTAATGCAGAACACAAGAATCGATAATCCACCCTATGAGTCATGTGGATTACGTACCAACCGAACAATGATTTGTCGGGTGGGTGATATCCGGTCTGGATCCCGTACGTACGTTTTAACCCGAAATATGAATTGGTCAAGTAGGTATATCTTAGAGTTCTTCTAGATATCCTTAATAAT